CTCTCCTCCTCTCCTCCCTCCTCCCTCCCGCTTCTCCTGGGCTGGGGCGGTGCGCAACTAGCCCGCTCCAGCGCTCCTGGAGCTGCAGCTCCGGAGATGTGCGCAAGTCCCGCGATACTTGGCAGGCACGCCCCCGAGAGCAACTGAGGGGTGGGCTTTTCTCCCCGGAGAGCGATGTGCGACCGCTGGCTGCTTCGGGGACCCAAGGTTCGAAAGCCGGCTTGTTTACACCTTGGTTACCCAATGCACGAGACCCTCTTAGAGGAGTGTTGAGGGGTCAAGGACTGCCTTCGGCGAAAGCTCAGGCAACCCCATCCCCGCCATCGGCTCTCCAGTGGAGAGATGCTCTGGGGACTTGAGATTTCGGCGCCCTGAAGCAGAAAGGACAGAAATTTGCCCTCTTGTCCATTACAGTTCGCACACCTGACAAGAGCCTAGTGTTTTGGTTAGCGGTGGCCACTGCCACCGAATGTGCTGCAAGAGAACTGGAAACAGAGCGTTTCCTTATGCTATGAATTTTTTAGGGAGAGTTAAACAAGTTAGGCTTTAACTATGGTCCAAAGAACGGTAGCTTCAAGTTCCTTTCTCAGTCAGGAAGGTGATTTTTCGGTGCAGCATTTGATCATTAACACACACACACACCCTCAAGAGCCTGAATGCTTGCATTTCTAAGTAGTTAATGCTTAGTGTAGCACAGTGCTTAAGGAATGACTTAAGACTCAGCTATTATTAGAGTCTGGAAGACTTGGGATCTATCCCCCAACTGTCATGTGAGACTCTTTTAAGAACCTACGATTGCTTAGTTTAATTAAGTCCCTGCTTTGTCATTTATTCACTGTTGGCGCATGGCTAGTTCTGGCCCTTGAGTTTCTTCAGTCTCAGATTTCTTATTTGTAAAACCAAAAAATCAAACCCATTGCCATCGAGCGACCCTATAGGACAGAGTAGAACTGCCCCATAGGGTTTGCAGGGAGCAGCTGGTGTATTCAAACTGCCGACCTTTTGGTTAGCAGCCGAGCTCTTAACCACTGTGCCACCAGGCCTCTTCTTATTTGTAAGAGGGGATAAAATAAGGGTCCTTTCATTGGAATCTCAAATTGTGTTAGTTCACATGTCTTAGCTCCCTCTTCTAAATCATATCTTTTTTGGGGGATGGGGGACAAAATTGGGGGAGGATATGAAAGCTACTTCAAAAATATTAAGAGCCATATTGTACAAACCTGATATTAATTATTAACTATAATCTAGCATATCAATGACGTTCTTGATTATACTCACAAAAAGCAATTTCTAGAGATGTTATCTTTATATATTCTCAGGAATCAATTATCATCTAAACTGGTATGACAATCAACTATATTTAATATTTCCTCCTACATTATCCATTCTGCCACCCCTACTCAACCATCAATTACAGAACATCTACAGGAGGTATCTTTGTGCATATATGAGGACACAGGGTCCTACTCATAACACTAGGAACATTTTGTAAGTTTTCTATACTACCCCCTCTTATAAGTTCCAGTTCTGCTATGAGATCACTCACCTCTACACAGCATGTCTAGAAAAGCTATGGACCAGCAGGTAAAAAAATTGAGGTTCTAATGCTGGCACAGCCACTTACTAGCTATATGCCTTAGGGAAGCCATAATGGTTCTGAGGGTTGTCTGATGATTTTATGGTCTTGCTGGCTCAGTTTGGGTTAGATGGTCTAGCATGGCCTCCTGCACATGTCTGGGGATTGGCAAGCTTTATTAATCTTGGGAGGCAGGGCTTAGCAGGGATAGATCATCTTCATCCTGGTCTGACATCCTCCAGTAGGCTAGTACTGTCTTCTTCAGTGATAGCAGCTGTAGTTCCAAAAAGCAACTTTTTCAGGTTCTTCTGACACACATTTACCAGTGTCACATTAGCCCAAGGAAGTCATATGGTCGATGGTTGTTTCTAGGTATGGAGTACCCTAAACCGTGTCTTGGTGGAAAAAGATGCAAACTCATTGCAAAGGAGAGTGTACACAAATGGGAATCATTTGAGACCATTTTTGTAATCTACCATAGATTCCTGTTAAATACGAGGGAATAAAATTTATAGTTGATAATTCTGGTAGATACCACATTAACCAAATGATCAAGGTTAAAATCACCAGTAATGGGACCAAGTGATATCATGTGTCTCATTGTGTCATGCACTGAGAAGTGCAAAATAATGTATTATTTATTTGATATTCTAGCCAAAAATGGATAATTGAATCTACTCATGAGGAAACAGAGAGAAATAAAAATTGAGGGAAATTCCACAATTTGTCTGTATTGTTCAAAAATGTAACTGTCATGAAAGTCAAAGGTAAGGAACTGTTCCAGACTAAAAGAGATTACAGAGACATGTTTTAGTTATCTAGTGCTGCTATAACATAAATACCACAAGTGGGTGGCTTTAACAAACAGAAATGTATTCTCTCACAGTTTAGGAGGCCAGGACGTCCAAATGCAGGATGCCATCTGTAGGGGAAATCTCTCTCTCTCCGTTGGCTCCCTGGAAAGGTCATTATTCCTTTGCTCCTTGGTGGGATCTTCATGTGGCATGGCGTCTGTCTTTTCCCATCTTGCTTGCTCCTCTGTCTTAATCTGCTTTTTTTATATCTCAAGGGTGATTGGCTTAAAATGCACCCTACACCGATATGGCCTCTTTACATAACAAAGAAAACCCATTCCCAAAAGGAATAATAACCAATGTATAAACCACAACCAAACCCGTTGCCATCAAGTCAATTCCAGCTCATAGCGACCCTGTAGGACAGAGTAGAACTGCCTCATAGGGTTTCCAAGGAGCGGATAGTGGATTTGAACTGCCGACCTTTTGGTTAGCAGCCAATCTCTTAACCAGTATAGAATTAGGATTTACAACACATATTTAGGGGGACATAATTCAGTCCATAACACATGACTACTAAATGCAATGTGTAATCCAGAATTGGATACTGGACTGGAAAAAAGAAAAACTGTCAAGAACATTATTGCAACAATTGGCAAAATATGAATTCTCTAATATCTGGTCTTAGGCCTTTATTAATGTTAAATTTATATTGATATTAAATGTTCTTATTTTAATCATTTTACTGTTATTATGTATGAGAAAGCCCTTGCTCTGAATAAATACATACTAAAATATTTTGGAGTAAAGAAAGCATGAGGGCCACAATTTAGTCACAAATAATTCAGAAATAGAAAGAGAGAATGATGAAGCAAATGTGACAAACTGTTAACAGTTGATAAATCTGAGGGAAGGGTGTAGTAATTTTATAACATTTGTTTTACTTTGAGGTTATTTTTTTAAATAAGGAGGTAGCAATCTTTGCCTATTTCACAAGAAGATAGGATTAAATGCAAGAATTTATGTGAATGAGTGTTGAAAGTAAAAAAAAAAAGTTATATATATATTTTTTAAGAGAGAGCTAAGAATTTATCTTTAATCAGTGAGGAGCTATAGCAAGTATCTGTTTATATAAATGGGATGAATAGCAATGAACAATTTAGCTACAAGGCATAGAGTGACTTCAGTGTAGAATATACTGAAGACAGGGATATGCATTTAGCAGCTACAGTTGCCCATTCTATAGTTAGCCAAGGCCTGAATTCAAATGGAAAATAAAGGGTGATATAGATACATGTTCTGAAATTAAATTGTCAAGTTTGGGCAAATTATTAGCAATGAAGGAGAAGGGAAAAAATGTCACATCACTTTGAGATTTTAAGATGAGATGACTCAGAGTGTGGAGGTGCCATTGTTAACAGAAACAGAAATTTTTTCTAAAATGAAAATGTAATATTTCTTTCTCATTGTAACACTTCAGTAGCTTCTCATTGCTTTCAAGAAATAGTCTAACATTTTTAACATGCCTTACAAAAACCTTTATAGTATAGGATTCTGCTTATCTGTGTAGGACCTACAAATGAGCTATGCACTGGGGTAGATGTTGAAGATAAAGAGGAAAACAAAGACAGCTCTCATGGAATTGAAGGCTATTCATTCATCCAAATAATATTTGTTGAATGCCTACAGCCGGACAGTTATTTTCTAGGCACTGGGAACATATGCAAACAGTGAGCCAAAAAAAAACCCTGCTGTCATCAATGTTACATTCTAGTGAGGTATGTCCTAAAGAAATAAATATATATTTGTGTTGGATGGTAATAAATTCTAAGGGGGAAAAAAAAAAGTAGGGTAAGATCAGAACTTTCCAACTAGTGTGTCAAAATCAGTTTCAAATGTGCTGTGATATATTGATCACCTCATTCCTCAGCAGTAGCCAAATGGCGGGAGTTGGGGGGTGGCTTACATTGCCAGAGTCCATAGTCACATAGCCTCTGGTCATACACAGCTTGTGCAGGGATTCTTGGGAGATGACCTGAGCAGAGAAGGGTCTGAGTGTGTGCCCCACTGTTCCTAAAGGTGGCATAGGTAAGGAGGTGTATACCTCTGGACATCTAGTTC